CTATTTTTACCATTGCTTTTTCTCATTCTTTATTTGTCTTAGCATGTTGTTTTGATTTTTCTGGTCACCAGTGAACATGGAGCACTAGCCTTCTATACCGGCTGGCTGCAGGAAGACCCATTTCCCTTTTCAGGAGCTTTTATAGTTCATGCGGAAAGGAGTGATACATATGCGTCGTTCTATTTCCTGGTTTGTCAACTCTAAACGTAAGCTTTTGTTTTGGATCGCACTGTGAGTGATGCTCATAGTCCTTCCTCCAGATTGGATCTGCCATTCAACCTGCCATTGGACATCGGCATCAGATTCAGATCCATCCCACCAGGTAATGGTGCGGTAGGCAATTCAGATGCTGCAAACAGGAGAGTGGCTGCAGGCGTTCATCCCCCGCGCGCCTGCGGGAACGTGCTGCGCTCTCCTGCATTTGGGACCGCTCTTAAACAGCTGCTGTCATCTATATACGTATACATGCATAGCCTCTGCACGTGTGTATGCGCACATAGACTGCATATATAGATAGTTAATAGCTATAAAATTACCTGTTAACTTACTTAGAAAACTAATTTATTCAGTTTCTCTATTTTAAATGCAGTTGGATAAATACTCATCTGCCATATGTATGTTCTGTGGCCTGTAGGAAATTTCACAGTAATTCCAATGTCACTGTGTTGGACTTTACAGTATGTCTGTCAGACTTCAGTTCAACCAATCCCTCTAAGGTGAAGGCATAAGATTTTAGTATTATTAATGCCTCATTTCATCTAGTTAATGATCTTTTCAAGTATTCCATCTTCTTTGTGATTTACTTGCAACGTCAGATAAAGATCTTATTTAAGCTAAGTATTATGAAATAATAGAAATCTTTATTTTATTTGATTACAATCGGGATAAATGAATCCAGTAGAGAGTCTTATGTTAAACAGGTGCAGTTCTTAGCAGCATCGCACATGTAAAATCAGGGTAGGTTCTTTGAACACTCAGATCTTAACAGATGTGTTCTTTTTCTCCATATGTTATAATAAAATAAGGATTTGCTGTGAAAGTATTGACACACACACTAGGCAGTCTTGGCAAGCATGCCATTGTATTCCTTACACAATATCGGCTGTGGCTATCATTTAACTTTAAATAAATGTGTGCATTAAGTAGCTGTAAAGCACATACACGTATAAACAAAATCAGTTTTTGTCAGAAAGTAATTTTTTTGCTTTCTTGTTTACTGACGGCTAGACAAAGGAATGCTGCATCTTCAAAACAACATCTGTCAAGCCGATTTCTATCAGATTAAGTATATCCTCAAAGCAACCATCACAGCTTACAAAATACTGGAAATGTAGGCTGTGCTTTGCGTGAAACAGCAATAGAATTTAAAGCACTTGAAAGTGTTTTACAAATGTAGCGATGATAGCCTGCGCATATTCTCCCATTTTTGTTTCTATTTTCGGTAGGTTCTTGGGAAAGATAATGAGCGATGTTGCAACACTGCAGTCCCAGTAGATGTCCCGGAGCGCAATTACGGAGTTATGGTCCTGGCAGCTAATCTGGGTCCACAAAAGCCAATGGTTTGGGAGTCTGGCAGTAGAGACTGAATTTATTGCAAAGAAATTCATCTGTAGAAAGATTTCTCTCATTAAGAATGAAATTAAAGTGTGAATTAGTGACTGATTATCCAGGCCTTTCTCTGATCTGTTGAATTCTTCATTAGTATAGATGTGTGATTATGTATGCTCTGGCCTGATTCTGGTTCTATAGATCATCAAAGATGACTGATAATATTAAATTTTTAAAGATATTTTCTGGGACAATGTAATCTGGTAAAAATGGGGGGAAAGCCAGTGGCTTTAACATAGAACATAAATACAGACACACTCAATCATTCGCGTTTCTGGCCAGCTTTCTGTCTTTTTCCCTGCTGGGTAATAATTAATGCATGAAAATGAGCTTCCTAATAGGCTGGTGTGTCTTCCATAGGAGTGGAGCATTTTGCCTTTGTAATCAGTTAAGTAGAGAGGTGAAGCCTCATTACAGTGTGTGCCCACAGCTGAGTGTGGGAGCTCGGGTCAGCCAGAAATGAATGCCAGGATTTCTGTAAAAGATCTTTGTGGCTAGAGGGTAGAGGTGCTTGAGCTGGAAGCCAGGTCAGCATTCCTATCAGTTCTTCCGTTTTAATAGTTGGAAATCTAGAGTAGAGTGAGAAGAGTCCGGTCAAAAATCCACGGAAATGACAAAGAAGGGTGGAAGTCAAGGACAAATCTGTTCTAGCTGCATCTGGGTGTAGATATATTCTTGCAACTCTGATTTCCCATTAGGTTGCTCCCTATGTGTCAGTGAATTGCCCTGTGCTATCCTCCGATGTTCCACATGAACCCTAGATGAGTTAGTGTGAGGTGTTTCAGTGCCTACCACGTACCTGTGGGATAGTCCTAATTCATGTCCTGTTTCTAAGACAGTTCAGCTAAAGAAGACAGTCACAGAACGATTGCATATAAACAAGGGTAAATATGTTATTTCATGACAGAGTTCAAGATAAATGCTTTATATCTGAAGGATATAGTTTTTACCAGGAAACTGGTATTGCTGATTTGTGTCTTCTTTATAAAGATATGCTAGCTGCTTCTGCGGTACTACCTGAAACATAAACCTCAGACTGGATTTTAGCTTAACTGAATATGAAAATGATCTTTATAGGATCTTCAGCCTAGTTCCTTAGACAAAAGAACATATAACTAAGTAAAAATAAGTACGGAAATGTACCAAATAGTCTAACTCTGTCCAGCTCTATTGTGTACCTGGGGAACTTAGCACTTGCAAGTTTGGGTCCTTTGAATATCAATAGCATGACATTTCAAACAAGAGACAAGGGGTTTTGAGAAGATTTTGCAATTTGCAGCGGGAAAAGCTGTGTTTGAAACAACCGTTATGCAAGAGATTCCTTCCGGTTGTCATTTTTGGCCAAAATGATGGAGCATTTCACTTGTTTTTAAAGCAAGAAGTATGAAACACGCAGCAGATAATACAGTGTAGTGGTGGGCAGACAAGCCGTAGCATGTTCAGTAAATACATGCTCTTTTTGGGAAATGTTGATCTGAATTTCATGCATCATCCAAGAATAGTGAACACTGAAAGGTCGTGGTAAGAATATAAGGAAAAAATCCACCTGATTTGAATTTCTCACGCTCCAATATTGTTAATGATGCAATGTCAAACAAATAATTGTTTCTCTGAGTGCGACTAAAGCCAGATTCCATGTATAGTTGAAGAGTAACTTGCCACACATTTTTTTTCCCATTTAGTGTTCATTTCCTTTATAATGTCATGGTGTTAGTTTATGAATGGTACCTTGAGCCACTGCAGTACATCTGTGTTGTGTCAGAGTTATTTCTTTGTTAGTCGGCATCCAGGAAATCTCATGGAGGCTGTAACATACTAATTGGCTTAGTACAATTAGGATAAAATGAAAGTGTTTTGCTATTGATCTTTGCTTGCTACTAGTTTATACTAACAGAAAATTAGATTGAAGAAGTCTAATATAGTTATCAAAATATTCTTTCTTACTGCAGGAAATATCACTGGTACTCTTAAATGGAGGTATTTTAGAGCAGAACTTCCTTCCTTTCTCCCTTTTTTCTAATCCTGTCTTTCTCTTTCTGACTTTTTAAAAATTTCTAGAAGGGATGATGAGGCTTGTTAAATAACTAGGGTGTTCAGAGACTGTGTAGCAATACCGTGACTTAAACAGGGCTTAGGCAATATTTATTAGACCATTATATCAAGTTGTAATACTGTGATGCTTGTTACCTTAACTTCATATAACATCATATTAATAAAACTTTACAAGCTGTGTAGCTGTAAAATGCATCATAATAATCAGTATCATTCCTCTAATAAATCACTTGATTTGTGTTTGCTTTGTGTTGTTCCAACCTCATCAGCAATAATCTCACAGGGTAGGGACCCTTCTTGTGGTCCAAGGTAATGACCCACCTGCTCCCAGTCCTTGGTTATGGACATGTTCAGAGGGAGGCACAACTTCACCTCTGCGCTCTCCTTCCCTTTGCAATGCCCCAGGTTACATGGTTTTCTCACAGAATTATTACCTCTATTGTGGAGATTTTCCAGAGCTCCTGGTCTCCATCCTTCTGCAGCCTCCATGCAGATTTATGGTTTTCCTTGCCCAGGAGACCACTGAAGTGGCTGACTATTCATAATTTAGACACTGTGGCAATGCCCACCACCAGGGATGAGCTGTTAGCCGTGGCTGCGCCTTGGTCTCTGTGTAGAGGTAGTCAGCTCAGTAGATGGGTGGCCCAGGGAAACTGGTTGCTCGTGCTGACCAAGCTTCAGAGTCAAATTCTACCTGTGGAGAGTCTGTTCCTGTTGGCATGGAGGGAGAGCTGCAAGTGAAAAAGCAAGGCAGGTTTTGCTTTATGTTTTTTAACATTTGTTTTATTGCAGACATGATTCTCCTTCTATGTAATAGAGTAGATAAGTATCTGCTTGAAATCTATGATTTAAGTTACTGGGTGTTGTTTTTTCTGAGGCTCGGAATCTTAATCCATTTGATTGACAGATATAAACTTGAATTTTATTTTATTCTCCATCACAGCAGTAAGTTTAGTCCAACTACAGTTTTCATTGTTGCAATACAAATATACTAAGCCTAAAGTACTGCTGGCAGCTTATATATAAAATTTGAGGATTAAGAAACCAACGCAAACAAACAAAGACTCTCAGCCTTAAGTAAGGAACAGAGTGTTGTTGGACTAGCCTTTTACTGCTGTCACAATTAATGTGAAGTAATAGCAGCCAAAACCTACAGGTCTGTTCTTGGCTGCACTAAGTACTAGTAAGGCAATAGTCATTTGAAGAGGAAATTTGTCTTGTCTATTTGAAATATTCATTAATTGCCAGAAATGCCACTTTTTTTGCATTGTATGTGTGATGTATTTTTCATTTTCACCTTCTAAATAATTTGTACAAATAATCCCTCTTATTTTTTTCAGCCCACCTAAACCAACGGTGTTCATCTCTGGTGTCATTGCTAGGGTAAGATTATCATTAAATTTCTTTCAATCATAGAAAAATTATGGCTTTTCAGAATTATCACTGATCAGAGCAAAATTAATCTTTTTCATTCCCTTTCCTCTTTTATGAGAAGAGGCTTTGTGTTTTGTATATTTGTGTTAAGTCCCTTTGAGCATTCTTTTTGGTTTTGTGTGAAATTGAAATTATTTATTGAAATTACTTCCACCGTTTTACTTTGAATTTTAGCACTTTAAGTTTATTGGATCTTCTTTTCATATCTAAGCTAGATATTACAGCATTCATTTCCTTTGAAAGCGGTTGCATGTTAGGTCTGCTGCTATAGCTTGATCTGTGAGGAGGAGCGACACTCCTGCCTGTAAGGAGACATGTTTGAAGATACGTGTTTCAGCTGCCATATGTGCCTTGAGGTGCTTGGGATTCAAGGTGTTACTCCCTGGATTTTAACAGCAGGCAGGACCTGCAAATCCATAACCTAAATCATTAGTATGAACTAGCCATTAATCATATGATCAGTAATTCATGCCTTGTGCGTTGTGACAGGGTTTTTATCGTGGCTTTACATGATGGGTACCTTTACCATGGTGGCCTTAGATCACTGGGGTGTGTAATGTGGTTTACTCTAAGATGCTGTGGTTGTGTCAGGACACGTAGGTGGAAAGAGCGAGCTGATGCCATTTTCCCTAGCCCGTAAGGGTAGTAGACAGGCACTGCTGTATTTCCTGGACCTCCATCTGCACCAAGGTGGATACCTATTTAGGCATTTAGATGCCTGATTACTTCTAACTAATTACTGCATTAATGTTTAGTAATGTTGATAGCACTTTAGCAGTTGTAGGGTAGTGATTTTTTTTTTATGAGTGACTTAGGAAATCTCAGACATAAAAACCACAGACCCCCAGTTCAGTAGGCGTGCAAAAGATTCAAAATGGAAATAAACTATTGTCTTAATTTTGTAACTCAGCTCTTCTTTAGCTAATCAGTTACTCAATAGGGTACTATACTTATCTTCAGTAAGCTGTCAGCTGCAGGTTTGTTTATTAACCTGTGAAGAACAGAATTGTTCTATGATTTTCTGAGACTTTATAGCTCCCAAACATGTATCAAAATTTCTTCTCTATGTAATAAACAACACCTAGCAATGCCTTTCTGAACCCAGAATAATTTTTCAATTATATTGTCAAGATTCCTGGTATTTAATAGTTCTCATCAGTGTCAGGCAGAGCTTTATATACTGTGACCTGTCCTGTTTATCAGACAGAAGGCTCCTCATCAGGCTTGTGGGTGGCACCAAACTCAGAGGAACAGGTAATAAGTTTGAGGGCAGGGCTGCTACTCGGAGGGACCTGGACAGGCTGGAAGAATGGCAGGCAGCAGCTGGACACGAGCCAGCTGCATGGAAGACAGCAAGAAAGCCAACATTAACTGGGAAGTAGCTGGTAGATCGAAGGAAGGGATTCTCCCCCTCTGCTCAGCAGGCTTTAGACCACATATGGAATAGTTCGTCCAGTTTTGGACACCCCAGTGTATGACAGGTGTCGATAAACCAGAGCAACTTCACTGGAGGGTCACTAAGATGCTCAGGGAGCTGGAGGAGAGGCTGAGGGAACAGGTCTTGTTTAGCATGGAGAAGAGATGGTTTTGGGAGGTCCTAAAAGCAGCCTTCCCACATCTACAAGGAAGTTACCAAGAAGATGGAGCCGGTCTGTTTGGAGTGGTGCGTGGCAGGCAGACAAGAAACAAACACAAATTGAAATGGAAGGGCCTGACTAGACATAAAAAAAAATAAACTTTTTCACTGTGAGGACATTCAGGCAGTGGAGCAGGTTGCCTGGAGGGGCTATTCAGTCTCTGTCCTTAGAGGTTTTCAAGACCAGACTGGATAATAAACCTTGAGTAAGTTGGTCTGATCTCACAGCTAGCTCTGCTTTGAGCAGGAGGTTGGGCTAGAGACATCCTGAGGTCCTTTCCAACCTGAATTATTCTACGATACATCAGTTCAAAGATAGGCATTTCCTGCTAATGTTTACAGACTGACTCTGTCATCTGCTCAACCATTACAGTACTCACAAGTCATAGAAGAGCTGCATTCACGTCACCTGTTTGGGACAACGAGATGTGAGGGGTCAGAGAGGTATGGAAAAGGCAAACAGCAGCATCAGGGGCAAAGAAAGTAGGAGATGTCAAGTCTGAGAAGAGGAGATCTTTGAAAATTGGAAGCAACTCGGAATAGAGAAAACAGTGAAAAAACGTAAAAAGTTAACCTAGTGATCAAGATTAAAAAAAAAAAAAAAAAAACAGAAAAGGAAGAATTTGGAGTAGATCGAAATGGGGTCAGGTGTGGAACAGGCCATCTGAGACGTCAGCTTTGTACAAAATACCTCTGTGTAAGGTTGTCGCCCCATGAGCCGATGGAATGCAGGGAGTTTCTGGCTTATGATATGTTTGTCCCAGTTTCTAAAGAGGGAAGTTGTGGTGCTGTTCTCCTCCCCCTGTCACTGAGCACTGGCAGTAGTTGTTCCCCATTGCTTTTTGAAAACCTCATGGGACTGACCCTAGAAGCGACAGTTGTAAATAGGTGGCCTAAGGGTTACACCTGAACTGAGCCTGCCCAACAGCAGCACGTGAGAACTAACACTAGCAGACCTGGTTAAAAGAGCATGTTAAACTTAAAAGCCAGCCACCCTTAAGATTTCAGTCCAAAGTAGTTTTAGATCCTGCCTTTCTTCCTACAGAACTGGCATTCCTACAGTAGGGGTTTTTGTGCAGGTAGTTTTTCACACTGCATTACCTTATCTGTAAAATAGTCTCTTCTTTCTGGTTGCTTTGTGAAAACCAAACAGGTCACGGAGATCTGACCATACAGAGCCAGTGAAAGTGGCTTAGCATGAGGAGCTTTTAAGCACTGAAGATAGGAATGTTGGGGTTTTTTCCCCCTTGGATCCCTTTAAGATACTGTGTTCTCGGATGATGTTTGTAATTTTAAAGAAGTGAAACTTGTGTATGAGAAATTTTGAACTTGGCTAAAAGAATGGTGAGGTAGGATGTGTACCGGAGTTAACGTGCAACACTGTTTTCCATCTGCTTTTCACATTTCTAAAAACTTACATCCACTTGGATGGGAAAGTATGCTTTTAAGATCTCTTAAATTTTTCCTGGTGTGTTCTTTGAACAGGGTGATAAGGACTTCCCTCCAGCTGCAGCTCAGGTGGCTCATCAGAAACCACATCCTTCTGTGGAAAAGCTTCCTCACCCACAACATGTCAAACAGCACATCCACCAGCCTCGCAAGTGAGCTCTCCATCAAAATCTCAGCCAAACTGCCGTCAGTGAATAAGTTTTCAAGAGAAGGTGAAAACCCTTTAGGATTCACACTGTCAAATCAGTAAAGTTGACCTCTAAAATAATATGCTGTTCCTTCAATTCTCAAAGGTTAATAAGAATGAAGACATTGTTCAGTTGTTACCCCAGATGGAAAATTCTCTATTAAGTATTTGCTGATCAGGAGTGGGTTTTTATAAGATTTTCTTATTGCCAAGATAAAACTTTATTATGAATGATATGATTAATGAGCTTAAAACTTGTACTTTCAGTTGTGGCATCGCAATAGCAGATAGTTAATGTAGTTTTTATGCTAAGCCAGTAAGGAAGACTAGCCCCTTTTGTACTGGTACCTTTACTATCTGGAGGGAGTTTGTTGTGTGTGTTGAGGCAGAAGTCAGTGGTTGTCCTGATTATGTAGAACCCTTGCAGCCTTCAGTATGCTACGGTGTTACACCCCAGTGACCGTGCCCTCTGATTTCAACTAGTGAGATCATAAAAGGGCCCAAAAACATTCTCAAGTGAGCAGAGATCCAGCTGAATCTTCTTTACACCCCTTTGCACTCACACAGTCTTGTTGAGGTTCTTCCATTTGGAGATCTGTGGGTATGGAGAGGGGAAAGAAATCGGAGTTACAAGAACACTGCTGCTGTAGGCAACTGATTTGTGATCTCATGGGTCTCGCTGTGGGCTGTATTTTTATGAGGTGATGATTTCTAAATTCCAATAACAAGCTGAAGGAGCTCAGGACCCTCCAGAATTGAACTTAAAATAAACTGGTGAAAAATCTGTTTTCTTTTTTAACTTACAGTTTGAGATCACTGTTTGAAACTAAGAAATCCCATTAGTAAATGTGTTTAACTTTATGACCCAACCTCTGTTGCACACCATATTTTTTCCTAGTGGCCTTACTGTGAATAAGGACGGTAGTGATATGAGTGAATAAAAAAAGTTACTTTTCAAATAGAGCAATCGGATTAGTTTTGGCCACATAATTAAATCTTTTGATTGCACAGTTCAAAGACACTTAGCTCTATCATTTTCCTTCTGCAACTCATCTCTGTAAAACCCAGGAAAATAATTTTTGAAACATTCCACCTACATTTTTCGAGGGTACTTCTGTTTTTAACTGACTATAAATACGGTATGGCCTTTAGTGCTCTCTAGGTTTATAAAACTTCTAATAACGTCAAAAAAGTGGGTACTGGAGCTAGTGCTGCAAACATTCCCCTGGCAAATCAGTGAAAGTTCAGGGTCACTTGGGGCTTTACTGGTTCATTTATATTTAAAATCAAATAGTATAGAAAACCAGTGAGGAGAGTTTTAAAAATAGTATTTTTTAATATTTCTGCAGATGAAATAATCATTCCCTGAGTAGGTGATTTAAAACAACAAACTCATGTGAAATATGGCCCATTTCACAAATGGAAGAACTCATTTCATGGGGGTGAGAGGGACCTGGCATTTCCATCTCTTCATAGGCTTGAAATGGAAATGATGTTTTGCAAAAGATATGCATGGATATATTTATTCTACACCCAAGGAAGGATGTACAACCTTTGTATGCAGTCCTTATTGTCAGTTTAATTAGATAACCGTACTTGCCTTAAGGAATAAGCATTGTTTATAAGAATTATTCTGTATTAGAATATGCATAATTTTTAAAATAGGCTTTCTGTTTCTGATGTCGGTACGTCTGAGGCCTTGTTTGTAGCCGCTCATGAGCGTACAAGTGATTCACACATGAGTAACTCATTCATAAGGGTAGCATCGTTGAGCCTCATGGAATATCTGCATGAGGTAATTTGTTGGCAGGAATGTTTGCAGATTCAGGACAGAAAGCGGTGGCATCTCCTTGACGGAGCAGCCAGTAGCTGTCAGTGTGCTGCGCCAGCAGTGAAGCAGATCATCACAGTCCTTTGGTACTGGTAGCTGCTGGCTGGAGAGTGAGCTGGATGGGACTGAGCTCTCCTGGTCTTGTGCCTACGTCTGAAGTAGTGTCTAGACTCCAGCTGTAGTCAATGGTGATGTAGTCAAGACAGTTGGTAGACTTTAGGTATGGTGTCTTTGACCAAAAGTGTCTTTCAAGATGAGCTGGACAACTCTTGACTCCGTTGACTGCATTGGAAAACTAAACGTACCTCAGTGTAGAAGCACACAATTCTGTGGGGCTGGGTACCTCTACTCTGTCTCTAGTAGTAGCTGGTAGAAATGCTTCTGAAAGCAACACCACATTTCCATTCTAATACTAAAAGTTAAGAACATGGATGCTTTTGAATTACAAACTACTGCTCCTGGTTGTTAATGCAATATATACAGCACATATAGACAATACCTGAATTTTGTCTTTGATTAGTTAGATGGATATGTAACTTTATGCAATGGAGTATGACTCCCAAGATAGCTTTAGTGGCTTTTAGAGCGCAGGAATTCCTATACGGTTAGAAAACGTCTCTGTATGAAAGCATATTGTATATTGTTGGGAGGTATCCATGTTTATACATAGGTGTCCTTACCAAAGCATTACCTTGCCCAAAATAAAGAATCATAACTGGTGATCTGGATTGCCTACTGATGGTTATTGATGCTTTTTAAATATGTTACGATAACATACAAGCACAGGAGCTGTTCAGATGTTACCTTGAAATGATTGCAAAAGAAATTTTCTGTAATTGTTGCATTATTGCCACATTGACAATAAAGCATGAAGTTGTATATTGGCCTCTTTTTTCTGTAAGCACAAAGTAAATCAGCAGGGTGCGGTTTTGTTGGGTTTATGGGATCTTATTACAGTATGCTGCATGACTAACCAACATTTTATAGATAGTGAAATTTATTAGGAAGCTTTATGATGCAGTGGATGAGCTGTTTTGGATAGTCCAGTCTCATTTAAAATAAAAAATAGATGCTACCAGCTAGAAAGGGAGTTGCTGTTTTCCACTATGAAATTGAAGATCCTCACTCTATCTTTGTGAAGCTATAGAATCTAAGCCTGGTAATAAATCAGTACGGTAAAGGAAATGAAATTTAACATTTTCCATTGCTTTTCAAGTTGTACTCTTCTTTCAGAAAAAGGAAGTATTGTAATCAGAAGAGGTGGCAAGCTTCTCAAACTGCAGTTAACATTACATAGGGCATGCCATAACACAAGTGATTCACAAAAGAGTTTGGAGAAATGGCTGCCGCATGTCTGGAAGCTTTCTGATACTTTGGGCATCCTGTATTTAGCATATGTGTAGTATGTAAATAATACAAAAAATACATGTGGTATGGTGCAGATATGGTAGATTTAGTGCCCTGGGACTGTTGCAATGTTACATCCTTAGACTGTGCACTCATAGAATCATAGAGTCATTTAGGTTGGAAAAGACCCTAAAGATCATCGAGTCCAACCACTGCCAAGTCCAACCACTGCCAAGTCCACCACTAAACCATGTCCCTAAACGCTACATCTACACATCTTTTAAATCCCTCCAGGGATGGTGATTCAACCACTTCCCCGGGCAGTCTGTTCCAATGGTTGATAACCCTTCTGGTGAAGAAATTTTTCCTAATATCCAACCTAAACCTCCCCGGTGCAACTTGAGGCCATTTCCTCTTGTCCTATCGCTTCTCACTCGATAGAAGAGACTGACCCCACCTCACTACAACCTCCTTTCAGGTAGTCGCAGAGAGCAATAAGGTCTCACATCAGCCTCCTTTATGTGCTACATTATTCAAAAAATGTTGGCTTTTGGGGGAAAATACATGTGCACTATGTCTGGCATGCTGTTGATTGAGTTGTCCATAATAATTCCAAGTCCCATGATAGCAGTCAGCAGTATTGCAAATGTTATTAGTAATTAGAAATTTTTTACTTCTAGTTTCAACAGTATGGTTTACCCTTTTTGTCATCGGATGTCTTGAAACATAAGTCTTGTACTTTTATCCGTGGTAGTATGATCATCACATGCTCCTGGCTGTTTAATGAAAATACTCACAGGAATCTGTTTCATACAAAGGTGAAGGGGATGGATTGGACATATGGTTTTGTGCCTTTGGAATAACATTATTCTGAATACTTGCCATCTTCGTAGGTTGGGGGGGGGGTGTTTATAAACCACGTCTCATGTCCCCTTCAGATTTGGGTATATCAAGTTTAAAATGAGATTTAAGTTTAGGCCAATGCCTTTAGCTATAGGATTAAGATACGTTGATTGCATTTTAGAAAATGTGGGGGTGTCACTAAGGCTACAGTTACTTTTGCAGCAGGAAGAGATGTTGCTGGTCAGATGCTGCAATGTTGTAAAGAATTAAGAAGACATCTCTGTTTTAGTTGAACTTCTTTGCACACAAACATCTTCCTCACAAGATAAAGACACTTGAATGTAACTGGTTACAGCTACCATTATCTGCTCTGTCAGTAAAAGAGGAATGCAGATCATAGTGAGTGGAGGAGCCTCAATGAGAAGAAACTGAGTCAAGTCTACAGCGGTAACTCATCAGATTTCTTCAGCAGATGGGTAAAATAGATCTGCATTGTAGTTGTAGCCTTTGGTAAGTACTATGCATGATTGTATTATGTAAAATTAGTAAAGGTAATTACTAAGTACCTGATTGGCTTTCCTAAAGAATTCTTTTTTTCCTCAAAATTTCTCTAGCACGCTTCTGGCATGCATACTTTTTTCTGAGGAAGGTGGAGGTTTGTATTTTGCTTGTCGCTGTGTTCTTGGGTCTCCTTCAAGAACGTGTTATTTATTGGTTTTCCTCATCCCCCATCAGAGAATAGACTGCATCTAGTGTATACTATTTTCTGAGTCTTTTCATAAAATGGTAGCACTAGTATTTAGATAGGAAGCCTGAGAGGAGAGGTGGAATGGGTTGTATTTGACAAAGCACTCCACGAACAGAGTCAGTTCTGCTGCAAAGACTGTTTCCCTTCCCCTCAGGATGCTGATCGGAGGTGAGAAAAAGAATACAATGCCTTCTTCTGAAAATGTAATTTATTACTGCTTGGAGCTGACGGGCATGCATGGTTGCTGATGATTTTTTGCAAAACACGCTCCCAATGCTGCCAGGGACAAAACTGAAACACAGATAGTAAAGCTATTGCAAGCATAGATCTTGCAAGTGACCTTGAAAGAAGCTCTGTAATATAATCTGTGCTGCCCAGCTTGCATTGGAGGTATTTTTAGAAAACTCGAGTGGCTGGCATTCTGTAGGTCACTCACGGCTTTAGAAAAAGAAAAGCATTTGTAATCCACAGTGATTTTAAGGATTATAAAAATTGTTTAGCTGTTAACGAGCTGCGAGCTCTCTATAGCCAACGGTAAGGACACATGTATTACCTTTGGTATATTCTCACATTGTTGTGACTAAAGCTGGTTCAGCAAAATGTTTTTTGTCCTTCTTTCTGGCTGGCAAACAAGTCGCAGGTTATGAAGGTATGTAAAATAACATCTTACAAGCCGTTTTTGGTAGGCTGTCTCGGGTGTAACGGATGTCTGATACCATGTTGAGAAGGATAATGACGTCACTTTCTTACGTACGGAGGAGCAAGTGCACTGGAGAGCACAGCGACTAGCCTGGCTTCTCTCTTAAACCAGAAGCATCTCTTAAATGCAGAACGGCGGATTTAGTTCAAATGAAAAGCAAAAGTTAACTGCTAATCTCTGCATGCTGCCAGCAGCTGAAATAACTAGTGTCTCGTCACGTTTCAGACGTGGCTGAAACCACAGATACGTTCGATGCCTTTCTGAGTAAAACTGTGCCAGCGTGCCAGGGTTTGGGTCTGAAGGAAGAGGCATCAGTTTATGCCCTGTTATACGTTATACACTTACTGTAAACTGAAACTGTAAATCTGAAAACTCTGCTTAGTATTTTAAAAAAAAAAAGCTTTATTTCTAAAGTCGTGTACACCTAATCTTAGGCTTCATTTCATTTTTTAAGTGATGTGTTACTGCAGTGAGGATTAACCTTCCACTTGTTTGAGTTCTGCTGCGACCTCGTGGTTCATTTCTTTAAAAAGCTGCTTTAATCCGTGATTGTTTCTGTGAATTCAGAGCCGTTTTTCACAAACGGGAGCCGTGGACAGCGGGTTCCTGCTGA